CCAGCATTATGGTAATTTTGGTTCTTTTTATCCTATATAATTTAAGTCTGTATTAACAGATACACAATGTATAAAGCTGCAGTCTACAACAATATGAAGAAGAGACAGAAATATATAGTAACAGAGTGTATATTATTGAAATGAGGTTGGCTTTATTCATAAAGCCAGGTTGTTTTAAGTTTAAGATGCTAATTGTGATCTCCAAGGTAACCACTGAGAAAATAACTTAAAAATACACACACAAAAAGAAGGGAATTAAACTGGTACAGTACAAAAAATTAGCTAAATACAAAAAACAGGAATTGAGAAACAAAAAGGTATAAAATACAGAAAATGACAGTTGTTCCTTATTAGTAATTACATTGATAGAAGTGGAGTAAGCACTGCAATTGAAAGCAGAGATAGGCAGAATAGATTAAAAAAACATGACCCAACTATATGAGGTCTATAGGAGATTTAATTTAGATACAAAGACACTAAGGTTGAAAGTAAAGGGACAGTGAAAGATATCCAATGCAAAGAGCTGGTGGGTGGAGAGGTATATTATTGTCAGACAAAACAGATTGTAAGCCAAGAAAGGTTACAAAAGACAAAGTACATTACCTATTGATACGAAGTTCAACTGATCAAGAAGATATAATAATTATTAAAATATATACCTAAAAACAGAGTCTCAAAATACGTGAAGCAGAAACTGACAGAACTGAAGTGAGAAATAAGTAATTCAACAATAGCTGGAGACTTTAATATGCCACTTTAAATAATGAATAAACAAACAGAAGCTCAACAAGGAAACAGAAGACTTGAATAATACCGCAAATCAACTAGACCTAACACACATCTATAGAACCCTTCATAGTCTTCTCAAGCACACATTGAACGTTCTCTAGGGTAGACCAAATGTTAAGGCATAAAGTAAGTATCAAGTTTAAAAAGACAAATCATACGACGTATATTTTACAACAATAGAATGAAACTAGAAACAACAGAGAAGAGAATTTGGGAAGTACACATATGTGGAAATTTATGTGCTCCTAAATAATCAATGGATCAAAGCAGAAATTACAAGGGAAATTAAAGTATTTTGAGATAATGAAAGCAAAAATATCAAAATTTATAGGATATGCCTAAAGCAGTGCTTTATTAAAAAAGATCTGAAATAAATAGCTTAAACTTTACCTTAAAAAAGTAAAAAAAGAGCAAACAAAAATCAAAGCAAATAGAGGGAAGAAAAAAAATGAAACTGAGATTAGAAAACCAATAGAGGCGAAATGCAGTGGCTCACCCCTGTAATCTCAGCACTTTGGGAGGCTAAGGCGGGTATCACTTGAGGTCAGGAGCTGGACACTATCTAGGCCACCATGGTAAAACCCTGTCTTTACCAAAAATACAAAAATTAGCCAGGCAAGGTGGCACACAACTGTAATTCCAGCTACTGAAGAGGCTGAGGCAGGAGATGCGCTTAAACCTAAGAGGCAGAGGTTGCTGTGAGCCAAGATCGCATCACTGCACTCTGGCCCAGGACACAGGGTGAGACTCTGTCTCAAAAAAAAAAAAAAAAAAAGAGAGAAGAAGAAAACCAATAAAGAAAAATCAATAAACCAAAGCAAATTCTTTGAAAAGATTAACAAAATTGACTGGGTGTGCTTGCTCATGCCTATAATTCCTGCAATTTTGGGAGGTCGGGGAGAGCAGATCGCTTCAGGAGTTTGAGACCAGCCTGGTCAACATGATGAGAACCCATCTCTACGAAAAAAGATACAAAAAATTAGCTGGGTGTGGTGGTGTACTCCTGTATCTCAGCTACTTAGGAGGCTGAGGTGGGAGAATCACTTGAGCCTGGGAGGTGGAGGCTGCAGTGAGCCAAGATTGTGCCACTGCACTCCAGCCTGGGTGATAGAGCGAGACCTTGTCTCAAAAAAAGAGAGATTAACAAAACTGACAAACCTTTAGCTAGACTGAAAGACAAAAGACTCACATTACTACTAAATCAGGAAAGAAAGATGGTATATCACTACGAATCTTACAGAATCTCCCTTTCCTTTTTCCTAGCTATTCTAAAATGTAGTACCTTTGGTCTTCTTGAAGTTATCAAGTTTATCCTCTAGACCTTCCACAGCTGACACAGAATGGCTTCTAGGAAACCCCCGCTTCAGTGATCTCTTTGAAGGGGAAAGCATTTCCTGGTTGAAAAGATTTCTTCGAACTTTGGTCACTTCTGAAAGCATCAAAAAATAAAAAAGAAAAAGCCAAAGATTATCATCAATAAACACCGTATCTGATAAAAGATAAGCTGCTTAAGGAAACTATTGCTATAGTCACATTTGCTAATAAGGTTTCCTTAAACAGTATACTCCCGCAATGCATTAAAAAAATACTTATTTTTATGAATTTAAAAAATTTTTAATATATTATTTTGCATGAGGTAGGAGGAGTCCAATGTCATTCTTTTGCATGTGGATAACCAGTTTTCTCAGCATCATTTGTGCAAAAGACTTTTCATTCTCTATCAAATTGTCTTGGTACCCTGAGTATCAGTTGACCATAATAAATGCTAGTGCTAATTTCTTTTTTAAAGGCTAGATAGAATCCAGCAGTGAAACCTTCTAGTCCTGGGCATTTCTTTGTGAGTAGTTTTTGATAACTAATTGAAACTTTTTACTTGTTATAGATCTATTCTGATTTTCTATTTCTTCTCGAGTCTGTTTTTAGTAGTTTGTATCTTTCTACGAGTTTGTCCATTCCATCTAGGTTATCTAATTTGTTGGTATACCATTGTTTGTAGCATTCTATTACAAATTCAATTTAAATCTAACTTTTCAGGAACATGAGGAAGGCCCACACTACTTATTAAGTTAGAAGCTTGATTCATTGTAAAATGAACATAATTCATAAATAAGAGGATGGCTAACATAGGTCATGGTCCTTTTAATATATCCCATGTTATGATTATTTTTCTCATTTTGGATCTTTTTCCTGCTGTGTATTCAGCTCAGCATTGAATGGAGAAACTGTTCTTTTCAATTCTACAGATTTCATTTTTCTTCTGACTACTTTACTAAGCTGCTGGGCCATTTTAAATTTTCTTCTTCACTCCAAAGCATGAAAGTTCTGATCATCTAGGCTCAAAATTAGAAAAAATAGCTGAAAAGTCAAGAAATACTTGGCAAAGCTAGCAAGACTACCTTAATCTTAAGCAGGATAGCCTGGTGGAAGTGATTCAAAAATTCACTAAGGGTGAATTCTTCAAAGATTAATCATTTAAAGCCAAACCAAATAATCTAGGATCCACAAACTGGGAGCAACCGTTGTGTTTACCCATCAATGACATAAACATTAATATCAAGGACATCAATAACACATACCAAAGTTTTAAAAATTGTTTCCCTATCTCCATTATAGGAGTTTCTATTACCTAACTTAGGCTGTTGGTGAAACTCATTTATGACCTGAAAGCCAAACTTGGTTTGTTATTTTCTGTTTTTCCCAATGTTTTGAAAAGTTTAATGTCTATGGAAAGTTTCAAATAATAAAATCAAACATATGCCCATTACTAAAGTTCACCGACTGTCAATATTTGTTTTTTCCTTCCTTCTCTATGTACAATATTCCGCCTCAACACTGGAGAGTAAATTGCAAACACTGCAGCTGTTCACTTCCTAAAGGTCAGCAAGTATCTCCTATGAACAAGGACATTCTCCTCCATAACCCCCATGCCATTATTACACTCAAAATATTTTTAACATTCATACAATATGATCTAGCATACACCGCTTCTTCAGATTTCTCTAATCATCTCAATAATATCCTTTCTAGTATTTTTTTCCCCTAAATTTAAGATCCAAGCAGGGAACATGGAACGCATTTAGCTGTCATGCTTAAACTCCATTCATCTAAAACAGTTCCACTGCCTCTTTTCTTTTTCCTTTCTTCTGGCTTTCATGATAGTGGTTTTTTTTTTTTTTTTAAAGATTTCAGACCAGTCATTTTGTAAAATGCAGTATTTTGAGACTATTCCTAGGGGAATGTGTCCATGGTATTTGGACATATTTTATTAGCCAAGGGTCATACGAAGCCGTAATTTGTAACTGTAAGCAGCTGCTTAAATACATACAATAAAAATAAATTTGTCATTCTAGTGAATAAATATATACACTCAGAAAACAGTATACCTTGTACTGTATCTTTCACTGGCTGGGAAGGCTGTTGAGGAGCAGGGTGAGAGTTCTCCTGAAAGATAAGAAAACCCAAAAAGAAAATGTAAGTAGGCATTCATTGAAATAAAAATTTCACATGAACCCTTTGACTCTTGCAGTTCATTTATAGGAATCCATAATAAAAATAATAAAATGCACAACAGAAATGTTCCAAAGACATTCACTGCTGCACTACAGTAATACAAAATAAAAAACACTATAAATGCCCATAAAGGGTGAAACAGTTAAATAAATTACATCCCCATCCAATACAGACATTCCAAGAATAACGAAGGATGACCTCCTATTCTCTGTATATTTTCCATTTTCCTCTCTGTATATGGTTGAGCATCCCTAATCTGAAAATACAGAATGCTCCAAAATCTGAAACTTTATGAGTGCCAACACAACACTCAAAGGAAACACTCATTGGAGCACTTTGGATTTCTGGATGTGGGATGCTATAAGTACATGTAATGCAAATGTTCCAAAATCCAAAAATATCTAAAATTCGAAACACTTCTGCTCCTAAGAATTTTGGGTAAGAGATACTCAACCTGTACTAACATAGAGATCTGTGATGGGAGGAAAATGGAAAATCTTAAGCATTCTAAGTCATATCATTTATATGTATGTATATAACAGATCTGCAAAAATCTTTGGTGTTATTGGTAAATATAGAAAAGGGCCTTGAAATATACACAACAAACCATCCTCAGTGATTACTTCTGAGGAATGGATAGAGAAGGGACACCCTAACTATAATTGTAAAAATATGTCATACATCCAATTTCCTATCCAGGGGTCAGCAAACTACAGTGTACAGACCAAATCTGGACCACCTCTTGTTCTTGAAAATGGAAGTTTTACTAAAACACAGTCATGCTCCTTTCTTTCCATAATGCCTGTGGCTGCTTTCCCACTACAGCAGAAGAACTGAATAGATGTTGCAGAGACTGTATGTCCTGCAAAGGCTAAAACATCTACTATCTGGCCCTTTACAGAAAAAGTTCATCAACCCTTGTTAATCTATGTAATTTAACGAAAAACTAGGAAAGTATGTCCTGGGGGTACTAGGGCAGGATCAAACCTTTTTATTTTTCTTTTTTTTAATCATTGGGCTCTTCTGGAGTTAAGATACACAAAAAAAATTAATATACATTAATGTAATTAATACTATATGTCTATACTTCAGCTATAAGTTCACTGCTTCCCAAGTTAACTATATTCATCCTTCAGAGAACTGAGATTTATTCTTTTAAAAACTTAACATCTGGTCCTTTCAGTTAAACAATTGTCACTTATCTATGGTACCAACTTTGACATGAAAAAACATTACTAACAACAATAAAATCCTGACCTCAGCAAATTTTTTTTTTGAGACAAGAGTCTCTCTCTCTGAAGCCCAGGCTGGATGCAGTGGCTTGATCATAGTTCACTGCAGCCTCAAACTCCCAGGCTCAAGTGATCCTCCTACCTCAGCCTCCTGAGTAGCTGGGACTACAGGAGTGTGCCACCATACCCAGATAATTTTTAAATTTTTTTGGAGAGACAAAGTCTCACTATGTTGCCTAGGCTGGTCTCCAACTCCTGGGGCTCAAGTGATTCCTCCTGCCTTGGCCTCCCAAAGTGCTGGGATGACAGGTGTGAGCCACTGTGCCCAGCTGTAATTCTGATCTTAGAGAAGAAAACTGTCTTGTTGAATTGAAAACAAGTTTCAAAGTGTGCTAGAAAATCTGCAAATCATTGTAAAATCTAGTGAGAATAAAGGCCTGGCAACTTTTGGCCATTCACTTTTGGATTTTCCAGTCTTCGGTCAGGATTGTGAGATACGTAAGATTTGCGTTTTATTCACAGGTAAAGTATAAGAAAATGAACACCACTAACCCTTTAAAAGAAATCCTACCTCCAATTCCAAAGGAAAGCTACAAATATCTAGAAACAGAACAAACCACCATTATAATGACTAATGCTTCTAAAGCTAGTTCTCATAGAATTTTAACTCTTCTCCGATAGTTCGTGCAGTTGAAAAGTTTTACTGTCTTTTTAGTCTCCTTTTTCCTTAGCAAGACTTTACTTCTACTTAGTAAATATATTTCACCTAGATTTCTTTTTCAACCAGTAGAGACCTCGAGTCCTTTTACCAACTACTGCAGAAACAACAACAATAGTCCCCTTTATCTGTGATTTCACTTCCCATGGTTTCAGCCATAATCAACCACAGCCCCAGAATGGGTGAATACAATACAGTAAGATATTTTGAGAGGGAGGCCACATTCACATAACTTATATTATATCGCTACAGTTGTTCTATTTTATTATTGTTGTTGCTAATCTCTTATTGTGCCTAATTTATAAACTGAACTTTATCACAGGTATGTATGCATAGGAAAAAAACAGTACTATATACAGGGTTCAGTACTATTTGTGGTTTCAGGCATCCACTGGAGGTCTTGGAACATATCTTCTACAGATAAGGGAGGACTACCCTACCTCCTGGCTTCATGATGGTCATCGTCTTCTATTTTGAAAAATTTGTTATTCATTCATTCGTTTAAGAGAGGAGGTCTTGCCCTGTCACCCAGGCTGGAGTGCAGTGGCGTAATCACAGCTCACTGCAGCCTTGACCTCCTGGGCTCGAGTGACCCCTGCCCCGGCCTTAGATTCCCGAATAGCTGGGCCTACAGGCATATGCCACCACGCCTGGCTAATTCTTTAAATTTTATTTTTGTAGAGACAGGGTCTCACTATGTTGTCCAGGCTGGTCTCAAACTCTTGGTGTCAAACTATCCTCCCTCCTCTGACTTCCAAAGTGCTGGGATTATTAGGTGTAAGTCCCTGTGCCTGGCCTAAACTTGTTATTGAAGTAAAATATAACATACTGAAAAGTACCTTCTGATATGCAACCAAAGTCCTATTACAATTGTGTATTCTCTTCCAGTGACCTCTTTGCTTATTTTAGTTACTGTTTTATGAGTTTTCTTATCTACGTTAAAAATTCTGAATTCATTCATTCCTAACTTTTACTTGCCGTTTTTTTCATATTACCTCTTACTATCACACTCTTGAGTAAAACTGTTAATCTCTTAACAAGTTTATATTTCTTTATTCCTTGGATTACAGTTTTATATACATTCATTGAAAAATTTAATATTATTTCTGTATCCTCCGAAGTTCATTTTCTTAAAAGTAGAGGGCCGGGCACGGTGGCTCACGCCTGTAATCCCAGCACTTTGGGAGGCCGAGGCGGGTGGATCATGAGGTCAAGAGATCGAGACCATCCTGGTCAACATGGTGAAACCCCGTCTCTACTAAA